CTAATTTCTGCTTGAGAAATCTGGTTTTACGGCCCCCCGCCTGGTAATTATTGCACAGTCCCTTATGATACCTTGAATAATCGCCACAATCATTTTTAGTGTTTTTTTTTTCTTTGCAAAAATACAAGTAGTTTTGACAGAAAATAAAGGAAGCAAAAAGGCCTATTCTTGGAATTTGGTTCTTGCGATTACTCCTTAGCTAGTTTTCACTATCTTTAAAGGACCTAATAAAAATAAAAAAATAGTTTCGATGCAAATTGTGGACATTTATGTTCATTTAAGATCTAAAACTTGTTTCGATTACTAAACGACACAATCGGTCATGATTTTTCTAAAAAAACGCAATTGCAAATATGAAGAAATTTAGACTGTACGGTAGAAATTACCGCACGGTTACCGCACGGTTACCGGACCTGGCCTGCACAATTTTTGTGAACCAGAAGTGTATGTTATTTACTTCTCTGTTGTGAACCAATGGGACACTAGAATTTGGTTACAGTACGATTACGGTTACAGTACAGTACAGTCCGTTTCCCACTCATACGAAATTGACCTGGTCAAATGACACGACTACATTGCATTTTTATTTTCAATGTTTTCATACTTGAATTTGGTGTATTTTGGAAAATAACCGTATTTAAAAACTTCGAAATATTTTAAAACGGTGCGGAACAACTCTTTCACGTATAAGCGATATCTGGATACAACCTTGTGGACATTTAATAATTATGCTCTTTTCGTCTTTGTCAAAAGCCATCTGAAGAAAGGTTCGAAACATCACGATGGACAAACGAAGCGATACTGGAGTTTGGTAAAGATGATGTTGATCAAGAATCAAGGCCATTTATGGGTGAACCTGAAGAATCATTAGATATCATTCAGACCCTACCCAACGTTGTCCCAAGGCACGAATATGACGGTTTTCCGATATATCGCTCGCATTGCATTAATAACGAACCTGAGACAGGCCGAATAGCATCGCAAGGCATGATGGGACTGAGCAAGTTGATTAGACGATCAAACTCTGCGYACACAAAGGATCAAGTACAACCGTTTAGTTGGCCTGTAGACCAACCTTACTATCTAAATGGTGGTTRTGAAAGATCAATGGAGGAACAAATATATATGTTGGACGAGGATCAGTTAACAACATTCAATGCTCTCTTCGATAGAATGGAGTTGTTGTAACCCATGTCCTCTACATTTAAACAATATCATGTTATTAATAAATAGCGTTGAATTATTGAAAGCTGCGTCGGTGTGTCTATAATCGTGGTATAAGTACCGCCCCCAATGAACCCTGTAAAAAGAGCTCGCAATGATAGGTACCTCCATCCCGCAATAATCCTCCTAGGTGTTAGGTAATGTATCAGTCGAATCTCAACCGCTGTATCGCTCCTTTACGGCAAAGGTATTGCTAACTATCCAAATGTAAAACATTCGTAAAAGTTCCTAAAGGATGACCTTTCATCCTGTAACTTGCTTTTCATTTGTATAGACTATAGATAACATTATAGCAAACTTTTACTTGCCAATGACAATGAGTTCTCCAGTATGGGATCAAAATGTTTGCAATACGCATGCTCATACGAGTTTATATGTCGAGCCCATGATCCATAGGGAAGGGCTTTGGTTAAAATCCTTAAAGGCTACTTATCGAAAAAAACATTTTTCAGCAAAATTCACAAATTGATTTCAGCGTGTCAGTGAATGGGACGCCGGGTGCTTGCAGTTTAGCGTTTACGCTTATATAAGGTGTTTCATAATAATAATAGTTTACTAAAGTTCTTTTGCAGTATAAAAAAACTGAATTAACGAACTATTTACACTAAGAAAAGTACTGATTTATTACAAATTATTTACTATACATCTAAAACTAATATATAAGACATTTATAAGACATTTATGCTTTGTTCAAAATATCTAAAAATGAAAAGAGGGTTTCTGCTCTTTTGGTTTTGCAAGAAGTGAGATTGTTATAATAATAAACTTGGTCTTGTTTTGATCTTAGGTTATAGCTAATGTCGTAGTATGATATTGAGGTGGTTTTCGGATTTGATTTTAGCCATTTATTGTACACAGATAGATTGGCCGTATTTATACTAGAAGACTGCTAAGACTTCTAGATGACCTTAACAGTTAAAACCATAAGGGCGTCTAGTATAAAATCCTTAGTGAGATCTACGATCACCCTTACAATTGGTCCATATTTATACTTACAATTTCTAAACCTCAAATGTACACCAAAAGAATTGTTTGGCTTATAAGATAAAGCTAAAACTAAGCTAGTTTTGAAGATTTGAGTTTATTAAAGTACACTTTATCATAAAACTCTGCTATTTCTTTAATGAATTGMAAATGAATACATATGTTTAAAAAAATTCCAATACAATATTGTTTGAATATTTGAGGAATATGGAGTTCGATTAMCTTGGTACCACGGCCGTTTAAAAGTTTCAGTGTGGGAGGGTTTGAACAAGTATGAAATACCTTCATTCGTTTGAAAAATAAAGTTTGATAATAGCCAGGTAGAAGATAATAGCCATAGAAGATGCTGTTATGTGTTCCTGTTAAAGTGTTATTGTTATAGAACAAACTAAAGACAAGTTGTTGTGCTGATCTAATGGGGTGGTTGCTCTGCTGATCTTCCAAATTTAAAAAGTCGTCGTGGAATTCCCAGCAGAGTCTGAAATAAGAAAAAAATAAACATTCTGTTATCTGTTTTGCTTCACCCAATAAAATAAAAGCAAAGGGTAAAGTTATCGTTGGAGGAGAGGGTAGGGTGAATGTGAGGGGAGGTGATCGTAGGACAATATACCTGGACAGAGTTTGTCGTGCTAGGAAGTCTTTGTCTCGTCTTCAGAAACGTTTCATCGGTCGGCACATCATGGAACTAAAAAATCAATTAATTGAACTGATTTTAACAATAACAGCCTCAAGTGGAAGACCGCTGTCCTATATAGCAACAGGCTCACATAGAGAAACTATAAGAAAAGATGAAAAATGTTCTCATTGCTACTGGTTCTTAAACGTTCTGACTTAGGAATCAAATCTGATCTTTTTTGTTTTAATTGAGATCTTTTCCCGAATAGCCTGCATGATTTCAAGACGGGCCTGGGTTCGACGCTAGCCATTTTCGGGSGGACCAACGTAGCACGCAGTTGATGTAATGTATTCATAAAATGTATTGTATTCCATTGTTTCTCGTTCTAWTGTATTATGTGTTTTGTATTATATCTTTATGAATATATTACATTAACTGAGTGCTATGTAGGCTCTCCCAGCCATTTTTTCACCAAACTTCGCAATCTCGTACCCAGYGCCCCCGTCCCTCTTACGCAAGCTCTACGAACTTATCARTGAAATAAAATTTTCGGATGATCCYATATAAATATGTGTGYTTTTGTCACCTGGACATCACATAATTTCTTCACAATTGAAGATGACGAACACGTCAGCCAATAGACCTTTTTGCTAATACGTTGCTATTGGCATTACGATTCAATTCCAATCATATGCATGAAAAAAAAAGAACATTTTTATGAAGAATTCATCTTAAAATGAAAATACAACGAACAATTAAGTTTACACATTACTCCTAGGTGGTTTGAAAACGTTAATATCAATATCAATATTAACAGGGGTGGATTTTTTTAGGGAGGGGGGGGGGGAGGGGGGTTTGCCACCATCATCGTACCACAAGTGGTGATGAATCACAGAATCCTATTTGGGACATGACTATAACAAAACATGAGCAGTTGTGAAATAACGGATTTTATCTTGGAATGCTCGATTGATATCGCCCACGTGAGATATCCATTGGACTCAAAAACGTAATGTTCTGTTTATAAGTTCCAATTTATACCGATAAGACGCAAAATATGACAATTTGTATTGAGACCAAAATGGAAACTAAATGCTTTCACATGCGAATATATCACTACTTCTACAAAGGAAGATACAATACAATGGTCTTGAATGTACTTTGTTAGTAGTACTGTATGTGCTTGCCCAGAGTAACTTGGATCTACTATATTATGCATATATCAGTTAATTGAACAAACAAGTTTTTTTTTCAAATCAATGTATAATAAAGAGTATAAAGAAACAAAAATGTACAGAAAACGAGGTACTGAACCAATTGCCCGAGAAACAAATCAAGAAATCAGGCGCGTAGCGTGGAAATTTTGGTTAGTAAGTACGCGCATATGCGAGGGGCCGCGACACATATTTTGGATTGGGGGGCTAACAACCCGGAGTATTAAATGGGGATCTTTGGGTACTCCCCCATGAAATTTTGAAATTATAACTCTTGGAAATGCGATTTCCACCGTTTTTAGAGGCATTGAGAGCATATAAAAGGCATCAAATCCCGAAAATTTTAATATTTCCTTGCCACTAGTACGCACGTGCGTATGTGCGTAAAGGACGCTACGCGCCTGTAAAGATAAATAGAAATATGTAAAACAGTAAGTACTAAATTGTGCAAAATAGTGCATCGCTCACCGATAAAAGTAAAGTGTCTATACTAAAGAGAATATTTCATCGTACATGTACTTACGGGATTAGGTTCCTTTAACCTTTGGCAGTGAATTCCCACATGGATGAGCAGCTGATGTCTATTGCTAAACGATTTAACAATACCGTCTCTTGAACAACCTCGCCAATGGCAGCGAGACGAACGAAAGTTAGTTGTACGATGGAGGTGTGAATGTAGGACATGGTGGAATATCTTGTCCACCGATATTTCTTTGTAGTCACAAGTATTCCAACCGCAAGCGAACTCGTTTTGTTCCTTGTGAAATTGATCGGCATTCAAATAGCARCAGCCAGACCAAGAGGAAGAGAAAAACGGCTCCTTTTCTGAAGAGGAGTTTCTACGTTGTGAAGGCCCAAGTAATGGGAGTTTTTCCTCTCGGACGAATCTCCCGTGACTTGTTTTTTGTTGAGTATCGATAGGGTTTATAACTCCTCCTTTTTCATTATTCMATAGCAGTTCACTACCATCTGACTCTTTTTTTACCGAACTCATWGTCGTTGTTTTSAACCGGACAAACAACCTTCCCGTGGGCTTTGTCGTTTCTTCAGGTTCGGTTATTGAGCATCGATCATAAAATGAAAAGTCTAGTAAAGTTTGGTCCTGATCTAAACTGCTGTCATGTTCTTGTTCAGAGCATTTGAGTACCCATACTCGTGTTTGCTCCACTGAAGGTTTAGGCAGAGAATGTAAAAACTGATTGAAAGTCAAAGCCTTTGTTTCACTCATGCYAACATCGAYAGGACTCTGTTTGCTAAGAGAATTGTTGTTATTGCYGTTGGATTGGGGACAGACTTGACTTGATTTCATCGTCGATTCTACTTTTTTCATAAAAAGTTATGTACAGTTACAGTTATGTTGTGTTCCCTTGGTCGACTAATTACCAACTATTTAACTTTGGCGTACCGATTAGCCAATAAAAAACGTTGTGAAGACGTAAAAGTGTTCACCACCCAATCACGTATTGTTCCCTTGTAAGTAAGACTTTTTTGAAAACCTGTCACTACCGCTAAGGTAACAGCTTGAAGTTAGTTCAGATTGAGAAAAATACATTGAAAATACGAGAAGATAAGGCTCTGCTTWTCGCACAGTCATACGAAATCCGCTAAGGGAAAGTTTATTGTCTCGCGAAAATATACTTTTACTTTTTACCTTAAAGGGATAACTGAAACTCACACCCCCCTTTATGCTTCTGATAAAKCACTGTAGTTGGTTTTGCTATTTTCAATATTACACCCAAGAAATCCAATTTCTTTGGTTGATTCAACCAGTTTTAAAATAACTTCTTTAAAAAGAACATCGGAAGAAAAAACAGTCCTCCAAAATAACCATCAAATCCATGCATAGCCCGAGTAAAGGCTTTAAGAGCGTCTAGTTCATGASTGAATTCAGTGATTGGTAATTCAACGTTTAATGGTATATATATACATATGTAGTTACACTATATTTTTACATCGTAAGATATAATAATCACATTTAAAAATCGTCCCAYGATTTGTTTACTTGAAATATTACAAATAGMACCAATTTACATCACAATAGACGTTAGTCCAGGGCACAAATTAGGCTTGGTTCATACGGCGTATTTTACATGTGCAGAATACAACTCGTCTCTTGGGCAACTAAAATACTACAYGGCACTTGGTTTATTAAGTACAAGTAAAATTTTAAGAATTTAATTCSCAATCGCGTCTATCAGCCTTATTTCATCATGAATYTATGTAAGACCCAATGAATTGGTAATATTAATAACTCTGTATTAGGGTAGGATTATTACGGAGTCTTACATGAAGTACTAGCCCATCATCTGGYTACCTCATAAGTCGTGACTGCTGACAGCGAGCGCTGTTTTAGTTGACAACAGTCTCTAATACGCAGAGACCTGACCAAAAACAAAAGAAAGCACAAAAAAATGTTGTCATTACAATAGCCCTGCAAATTTGCATTTTCCGATTTGAGGCTAAGCCTGTAGAATGTTAAAACTCAAGGTCTTATGGGAATACAGGCTCAGCCTCAAATCGGAGAAGATTCAAATTTCTAGAGCTGTTGTGATGTCGACAAGTTTTCGCGCTTCTTTTGTTTTCTGAGTGAGTCTGTTTTCTACTAAAACAGCGGTTGCCCGCACTGAACGGGAAAAAGGCTTATTGTCGTCGRATATGTGAAATACTCCTTAGAAATCGGTTATGGAGTCGTTCACAGGAAAATCATTCTATAAAAGATTGCTTTAATTTTCCACATGGAAAATATATAATTCTTGATTTCAAGCGGCGCTGTTTTGAGAGTTCACTACGTAAAACCATGAGATTTCCAGTCAGGTATTCTGTACGCAATTCATTTCGCCGCGTAAAATAGCAAAAGAGAAACAAACGATAACATTAGTAAATCGATGATCGCCTTACAGTACAACTAGAAAAGTTGTATTTGTTGTGGATTGTTTGCCTTTCAGCAAGCTTTSTTGGTTACTMGWGTGAACGCACYAAACTAGTGATAATATCAAAATAGTGCAATTTGAACGGTTCCTGCAACTAAAGCAGACGACCGCTGTTTTTCATTTCATTTAGATGAAGTCATTAAACCCGMGAAACAAAACTATAAAGAGTTRAATAAACACAGCGAACTAAGCTGTATTAGTGTAAAATCTATTTCATGGGTTTTTTGACTTCACTCTACTAAACTATACTAGATAGTATACAAAAATTARTACAATTTCACGGATACAGTGTGCCCACTTTTATACGATATCAGTTCATACCCTCCTAGCAGAAAAATAACAGTATGGCGACTAGATATCCCAGAGCTATTTGAAAAGAAAACATGCGGAAAATGTTTTAGTACTGCTTCTAGAACTCATTAATAATTCAATGAGCTATTAGTCCAATCAGAATCCAACTATTGGGTCACATGATGGACGTTTTTATATCTCGATAAAGCACTGATGTTTTATTAATCAGTTCTATATCAGAAATATACACCTACTTGCAGAAACGTTGTCATAGAAAATAGAACATTCGAATTTAGTAAAAAGGAATAAATTAAAACAAAACAAAAGAAAGCGTTCAGCCTCAGTGACCTTCTTTTGTCTTTATAATTTATTCCTTTTTACTAAAATACAAATGTCCTATTTTTTATGACAACGTTTTCGCAAGTAGGTGTAGAACTGATGTTTTATTAATCAGTTCTATATCAGATATAAAGAACTGATGTTGAAGGTCATCAGCGCTTTATCGCAACCCAACACTAGCAAAGGTCTCAGTTTTATTGTCGCATCATAGACCTTTGCTAGGTTTTAAATCAGTTTGAATCAAAGTGCAGATATGCAGTATAGCATAGACTAGCCGTTCTTACGTGTGGGATCAAAATTCTTTCATTTGTGACAAATGCACATGCTCAGTAGAAGTTTAACATGCATAATCTCTGTTTTCGCATTTTTTAGCTTTTTTCTAAAATGATAACAATTTCTGGATGTTGGAGTTCTAGAAGTAGTATAAAAAACTCGCAGTCGTGCTTTATCGGGGATATAGACACTCGGACTTTGCATACTGCATACTGTGTGCATGATTCGTAGTCGACTGAGACTTGAATTTGTGGAATAACTGATGATGTATAAAACGTTTATGATGGCATCATTTTAAGTAAAAGTCATTTCCTACTATTTCAAAAGATATTGTTGTAGAGAACGTTACGTACTCTAGGTAATCAATTTGAAAACACGTCCAAACCAATCAAGCTAATCTTCATTTTAAAGTAACGACTGTCTTTATGAATACCCATAGTACCTGTCGTTCGCCCATTCTCGTCTCTGCAATGATATCCTTAGAAATACCTATATACATAATGCTATTTGAAATTAAGCTGTCACTGTCAAGACGATATCCATTATCTTTGTATTCAAAGATCCTCTATAAGCTCGTTTGCACTTCATTCATGGTTTAGATAAGCAGGGAAGCTTGATTTCCTTTCTTAAGAATTATGCCTGCGTAGCCTGTCGTTCCTAGCATCTCCGAGGGAGATTGGATTAGTAGCGTCTGGCTACGTAGGCTGTTCTCAAATTCATGGAATGCCATTAATGGATCAATTCAGATCGAAAGTTTGTTGAAAGGTTGGCTCGGTCAATCGATGGTTGACGTCACTAACATGGCATCCAGTTTTAAACTTTGAAGGGRATGATTGAAACCAAGCTATGGAGACGGTTATGATTGCTAAAGTTATGAATTATTCGTGAAAATATCACCAAGTAATCTATTACCGCCGTACTTTTACAGCTAAATCGTCTACCACTACAGTAGACTCAAAGACCTTGACAGTGACAAACGTTCAAATAGAACATACATGACTATTGATGGTTTATCAGTGCTGATTGCTATTCGTCCGTTCAGTGTGTAATATAATATAGAGCATAGTTTGTGATTTGTACAATGAGCAAAAATAATAATACAATAATAAAGTGATACTAATTATTCCAAGGCTCAGCAAGGAATCATGAGGTACGCATCAAGCAGTGGCAACAACTTCACGGCAAACTGGACAGCTACGATTACTCTGTTGAAAAGAACAACAACTTAAACTTCAATTTAACAAATTGCGCACGATTTTGAGTTGCATGTCCTCGTATTGACACACTCTAAACAGCCAATCAGCGCGCGAGAATTTACACAAGTGTGGTAAAATGTACTATATATGGCTATTAAAGAAAACGTGCGTGCATCCGGTTTATTCTTTACAATAACCGACTGAACAATAACCGCGTGAACAATAACCGACTGAACAATAACCGAGTGAACAATAACCGACTGAACAATAACCGACTGAACAAGAACCGACTGAACAATAACCGACTGAA